GTCCTGATGCATCTCAGTAATCCAGGTAAAAAAATCAAAGGAAAAAAAATTGTATAGGTCCTCTGGACGGGTTCTTCTTTAATGAATGTGATGTGAGTATGAGTCACCTGTGAACGATGGCCATGTGATGTGAGTATCAGTCACCTGTGAGCCATAGCCAGGTGATGTGAGTGGGAGTCACCTGTGAACGATGGTCATGTGATGTATCAGTCACCTGGAGGCAGGACATAAAAGCCTGAATTTTGCCTGAAACTCTCAGACTGAAGAAGTCTCTTGGAAGAGAGACGAAACGTTTCATTAAAGAAGAACCCGTCCAGAGGACCTATACAATTTTTTTTCCTTTGATTTTTTTACCTGGATTACTGAGATGCATCAGGACGATCTGAAATTTGGTAGCCAAATAAAATCCCAAACATTATGTTATACCATGAGGCAGGCCTCCATAAAGTTTCTCCAGGAACTCTTCTAGTTTTGACTCTTCTTATTCAGGTCTAAGAAGAGCAGGTCATGCACACAAACAAACCACAATTTGATTTATTCTGTAATAATTCATCTTTCAGCTGTACGACTCAGTTCCATATGTTTCCTACCTGCCGCTGCCCTTTAAAAAGGCCTTTAAGAACATGGAGGTAAATTTCATACAGCTTAGACACAATAAACTAACAACATCATGTCTACATATGTTTAAATAATGATGTGTGATTTAGCTGTACCTCGACTTTTCAAATGGTTTGGTGAACGAGCACAAGAGGACCAGAACCCCTGGAGAACCTCGAGACTTTGTGGACTGCTACCTGGATGAACTGGATAAACAGGTGTGTGAACACAATATAAAACTTCAACATCATGATGCTGATGAATGTGAGACAGGTACAGAAAAAAATAAAACCAGGAAAACATCTGGATGCTGACTCAGCGTTATCACAAATCTTACATTTTGTTTCTCTTACAATATTCTCTGTGTTCTGTCCAGAGAGAAGATTCTTCATTTTCTGAGGAACAGCTCAGAAGGATCACTTTTGATCTTTATATTGCTGGAACTGACACCACCTCCAACACCCTCCTGACTGGGTTTCTGTACCTCATGAACCATCCTCAGGTCCAAGGTACATCTTCAGGATTTGTCTCATCTTTCAGATCAACATGGGACATAAAGGAAGGTTTTAACGTGGTGACCAGAAGCGGGCCATTGATTATGGTGGCAACAAAACCTAAAATATATTAAAATATTGAGTTGGCAGGTTAACACAGACTGAACTTGTTTGGAAATTACTGTTTTAGACCAAAAAATAAGAGTAAATTAAAATGTGTAAAACAGTTTTTGTCCCCTCAGATCGATGTCAGCAGGAGATCGATCAGGTTCTGGATGGGAGGAATCGGGTCAGTTTTGAGGACAGACACAACATGCCTTACATGCAGGTGATGAGCATCATCACACACACCTGTTCTGTTAATCTGACTGTTTAATCTGAGAGGCATTTCTGAATGTGTTTCTATCAGCTAAATTGCAACTTTTCTGAGATTTCTTTCTATACGATGCCTAAAATAATTGATTCAAAGACAGTTTGTAATATCTCTGTTGTAATCCAGGCTGTGATCCATGAAGTCCAGAGGGTTGCCAACACTGCTCCTCTCAGTCTCTTCCACTGCTCCACTAAAGACACAGAGCTGATGGGATATGACATTCCTAGGGTGAGAAACGTAGTTAGTACAACATGTACATATTAAATAAATCATGCTATCTTCATGATTTTATCTTTCCCTTTGGTTTCCCTTCAGGGTACCATGGTCATCCAGAACATGGAATCAGTGCTGAGGGAGGAGGGTCAGTGGAAGTTCCCTCACGAGTTCAATCCTGAGAATTTCCTGAACGAACAGGGAGAGTTTGTCAAACCAGAGGCCTTCATGCCTTTCTCTGCAGGTAAACTCACATCAAACAAAGAGACAAAATGAAACCAAACAGCTAGAAATGACCTTTTCTGGTGTCTCAGGTCCTCGGATGTGTCTGGGAGAGGGTCTGGCTCGTATGGAGCTGTTCCTCATGACGGTGACCCTGTTGAGGAAGTTTAAGTTTGTCTGGCCAGAGGATGCTGGAGAGCCAGACTTCACTAT